TGTTTAAATTAGCGCGAACTTTTAAGACCTAGTTTGTTTTTTAGTTTTATTACATATTAACTTATGTATATAATCTTTTACTATTAATTTTTTTTTAATGAATTAAAAAAGATTTCTAAATATTTTGCTCACAAGAATTATCTTCATATCTTTTAGAAGGTAACTTAACCAAAGAATGATTCTGAAATATGACTTTAAAAGTAATTTTGACAAAATGTAAAAGTCTAGCAGCGGTTGTGAAAAATAAACTGATGAACTTATTGTTAAAAATGACGAAAACATTATTTTAACCTCAATTTTAATATAAATTAATCACAATTTGATTAATTTGTGTTAAAATTATCAGTCTAATTCGACTGATTTCATTTATTTCTATCAAACTCAAATTATTTATATAAATTTTAATCAAAAATATACTATTCAAACAAAGTAGTCAGTTGTTAAATAGACTAAAAGATTAACATTAATAACAAAACACTTATTCAAATTATGATTTCAATTTCGATAAAAAATTTTCTGAATTGAAATTAAATTTATTCTTTAAAGTTTGTAAAAAAAAACTATTTTATGCATCATTAAAGCAATTTCTCTTTTGTCATTGTTGAAAGGGTATTTTGTACAAAAATGTACAGATTAGTTTCGGTCAAGCCAAGTGGGAATTATTGAAGGACACTTGTAAAGGTTACAATTGTTTGTCCGAAGATTTTGTTAATAAATCCTTTGAATATGTTTAAAGTTTTTTATATTTCCGGTTGAACTTTAAAAATTCACTTCATTTGATTTCATTTTTGTGGTCCTTTCAAATTTGAATCAAATCAAATCAAACCAACAATTCTGTGACTAATTTATGTTATTAGTTATGCAAATTTCAACAATTTATTGATTATCTTGCGACTTTTCAGTAGACATAAAGTATTCATTCATTAGATCAAAATATTCGTTCATTAGATCAAAATATTCGTTCATTAGATCAAAATATTCATTCATTAGATCAAAATATTCGTTCATTAGATCAAAATATTCATTCATTAGACCATTTTTTTGTGCATTTCATTTGTTTTGAATTAATACTACTTTGTTCTATGAGAAGTAAAGTAGTAATACTTCAAAGTGATTTTTTTATTTCTTTTTTTTCAATTTGAAATAATGCTATTTTGTTAAATTAGTTAATTTTTTAGTAAAAGTTTTACTGATTTTAAAACGTTTACGTATAAACACGTACGTGAAAAAACTTTCACTCTTATCGGATCGAATTTTAAATAAGTAAAATTTTTGAATTGAATCAGATATTTATGCTTGAAACTAATATCCATTTTGCTTAATAATCACAATTCTTCTTTCTTTGCACAAATAGTGTTTTTAAAGTCAAAGAAAAAGATATTAAAATGAATTTAAAAAACTGCTGTGATATTTTTGATAATGAGTGCTCAGCGATCTGTCAAAAGTTTTGTATAATTTGAAAATATTAAAATGAAAGCTTACATAATTTTGTACTGCGCCCCAAACTTATAACTTTGAAAGTAATTTTAAAAGGTTTAAATAATTCAAAAATTATATAAATAAATTAAATACTTTAAAAATTATATAAATAAATAAAATTTTATCAGTTTCATTTTTTACAAATGAATGCATAAAAATTCATTTCTCAACTGTACTTATCATTCTTGTATTATTCTAATGAAAATAGTCAAGTCAAGTAATACTTATTTTCTTGACATTAACAGCTGATAATGACAAAATTTTTGACATTTGTTGATTAGCAAAAGATCTGAAGCTGATAAGTTTGAAGCTCAATTCATATCTCTTATTAACAAATGCTTCAAAAATAATAGAACTATAAGAAATTATCACTCTTGCTGATAGCAAAAAACTCAGATTTATAGCATTGTTACACTGAAGATTTATTCCTCTTGCAATTCAAAAATTCATTTTATAATTATTTTACTTCTGCTTGTAACATTTATTTGCAGCACCGAACAATTTTATAAGTAATATTTTAGTCACGTAATTTTTTTGATAAAGTTTTACTAGTTTTGCTCATTTTTAAAGAGTTTACGAGCATTTGAAAATTAAGCTTAATCTTTAGCATTTGAAAATTAAGCGTAATTTTTGGCTATTTTGATTCGGTTTTTGATTTTGTAGAATAAGTTTATCGTTTATTGCAAAATATGCAAGTCTTTGCTTATTATTAAAAAATTTTGTTTTTAAGCATTTGAAAATTTAGCTAATTTTTTGGTTATTTTAAATTTATTTGTGATTTTGTACAATATCTTTATTGTAAAATATGCAAAACATGTTTTGCAAATATGGTAAGAATATCTGAATATGCAAAATATCTTACCACTCAAATTTCTAAATCCTTTAATGATAATTTTGACAACTAAAATTATTTTTTGTTTAAACTTGAATACTTTAGTAAACATCTCATGTTAAGACATCGTTTACGTACCAACGATACTAATCCAAGATCTGCTCCCGAAATCTAAACAAACTCAGAACTTGTCTGTGCAAACACAATCAGTCCCGTAAAATCGAGCTGATGGTTTAAATTTGGAATCGTATAATTGGGAAAAGTTTTATTCATGCATTCTCACATATCGGTTGCGATAATTACTTTTTTCCGTCATAATAAATATTTATTCATTTTTCTATTTTTTATTTTCATTTCTGCTATTATCAGTGATCAAACCGAAACTAATCTTTTTATGTTTATTATTATGGAATGATAACGGTTTGTTATTGCAGTAAAGTGACAATGCATAATTTCTGCTCGCTCTCAAACTTTATCACTTCGCAATTCATTTATTTGAATGCTTAAAAATTAGAAAGAAATTATTAAATTTGACAGAGTTATTGTTACTTCCATTTGAATGCGTACTTTCTGATAGCAGCATTTCTTGCATAAGTTACTTACAGTTTGAAATTTTTAAATTTTCATAAACGCACAAAATATGAAATTTAATTTTTTTTGTTTTGTTTTCAAAACTTTGCTACCAATTCCATTATTTTCATTTAATTACTATGCTGTCAGTTTTTTTAAATAAATGACATGGTAATGATAATAATATAAATTACATAAATAAATGAGACATTCATTTTAATATAAGTAAATTACTGTATCACAGAAGAGAGGATAAAAATTATTTAAATTTTTTCACTACTTAAATATTTTAAAATTATTTAAATATTTTAAAATTTGGAAGTTCAAAAATTTATTCACAATCAAAATTTAATAATAATAATAATAATAATAATAATAATAGTAATAATAACAGCTATTTTTCAAAAACAAAGGTCAAACTTTATTTTCATTGATTGATTTTAAGAGTTTTGATACATTCATATCAAATGAAATAATTGATATCTATTATTATCGATAATTGGAAATAGTTTAAAAGGATAGCAAAAATTAACTTCGTAAACTTTTAAATTGAAAATAAGTCGGTCCATGATTACAGTAATAGCTATGATCTGGTTTGAGAAACTTTTGTAGCGAGTTTTTAAGCGCTTTGATCGTTTTATTAGTATTCATCAATTACTAACTAATTATAGCTAACAAAAATCCAACCGTTAAGATATATATATATATATGTGCTTTTCAATGACTATAAGAATTATAATTGCTAGAATGAAAATAAACAAATGTACAAGTAAATAACTAATTATTTACTATTATTCCGTGGAGAAAAATTTTCAAATGAAATAGAATTTTCAGTCTAACTAAATTCTTTCATTTTATTTCTTCAAAAATTTGAGAATTTGCTGTTTGTTTATTAATTTTATATTAATTTTTGCTTCTTGATTGTCGTAATTGTAAAAATTTGGTATTTAAGGCGGAAGTTTGGATAAAAAAGACGATTAAATGATTGTAGAAGTGAACGCATACGATACGATTTGTAGTAACAATAATGATTATGATAATATGCAAATGAAAAGGACAACTTCAATAATTTCATCCTCATCGTCATCATCATTATCATCATCATCGTTGTTATTATCGTCATCGTCAACTATAACATCACCTTTCAACAATGCTGAAAATGATATTAATATGGAGATTGCAAGGTAAATTAGAGTATTATTTTAAAAAGTAATCATAAGTTTAAAACTTAAAATTAATTTGATAATTAGCATAATCTCTGCAAAACACTACATGACAAAAATTGTTTCAGAAATGACCATAGCAGTGGTTTGAGCAGTCCCACTTGTTCAACACTAACCCGAGAATCTAATCCAAAACGTAAAATTGTTTTAATTTTCAGTTCTCTAAATTCATTCAATAGGCGCAAAGTTTTGAAAAAGTGGCTGAAATTTTAATTTTTTCAGTACTTTCATTTTTGGGCTTATATTTGTAACTGTTTTATAACATACAAAATAACAATTTTTGTATAATATAAAAGAAGTGACAAATTATGCCATTTAACCAGCATGATTATTGCATGCAAATTATCAGTATTTACAGGTCACGCATCAGCTGAGTCTTCTGCACGTCCTGCTCGAGCGTACAGGCAATACTTTTAAAATTACTGTTTTATTTAAAAGTTTCAACATGCTTAATTACATAATCTAATTAAGATAAATGAGCTGCGTATACCACTCGCACGCAAGACAAAAGTCTAAAAAATTTTGCACAGTGAATTATAAACAATTAAAAGAATCGAAATGAATTTGCAAAAAATTTGCTTTTAAAATAAAATTAATTTTCTTTTTAATTTTTTTAAATACAAAAATAATAAATAGTTGTTTTAAAAAATTCAATTGATTTTGTTACAATTAACTCATTAATAACGATTAGATAAAGAATATACTTTCTGATATGAATAGTTTTTTGTCCATTTGGATAAGAAAAGAGTAGCCTTCTCCTGGAATGTACGAGTCTGACATGACCCCATCGCTTCTACCTGTATTGAATTATGTCCAACAAATGAGCAAAATACCCTTGAGATTACCTTACCAATTTTCTTGCGTAACTTTTACTCTGTAATTAATAAAATATGTTAGTAGAAAATTAATAGTTTTGTAGGTTAAATTGAAAATGATTTTTTTACGAAAACTAAAATGTTAGATAGTTTACAATAAATAATTACTGGCAAAAAAATGAATACTTTTTTCCAGAATATTAGACAGTAATGTATCACAACAAATATTACAACAACTCATATCTGACCAATTAGCCGCTGCCCAAATGACCGGAAAGGAAGCAAAGTTGCTGAAAAAGAAAGGAAATGCAAAATTATCATCTGGCTCTTTTTTGTAAGTCTTCTTACTATATATTATTCTGTTTGCTTGATTTTTACTGTTTCTATTTTTTGATCGTTTGAGCTCAAAGTGTGCGAATTGGGCAGATAGATATTTAAATATTTGAAATACTTGAAATTATTCGAAACTGAAAAAGTTCAGTAATAATTACTGAAAGTGAATTATTTTTAGGCTGTTTTTTAAAGTTGTTCAAAATAATTTTTAAAGTAATTAAATATTACTCCAAGCATCTTGTGATTATAAGCATTACTTTGTTCTATTTTCAATATAAATATTATTATTCTCCATTTTGATTATTTAAATTTCTGATTTTAATTAAGCACAGCTTTTTAATATTATAAATAGTAATACAAATCATAGTTATATTTGTAGCCAACGACAGTTTATGAATGAATCACAAAAATCGCATAATCATCAGCAAAACGACGAGTCATATACGTCTAAAACGTCATCTTCTTGTATTCATTCCGATGTTATACGGACGTCAAGTTTTAATAGAAATCCTACGCAAATTATTCGGATGAATGTAAATAGCAATCGGAATTCTCTGCCTGTTAACATAATTGCATCAACAATGAAGTAAGGTTGATTTGTCTAATTAAAGATTAATCTCAATTGTGTTTAAATAGTTTGAATAAACTTTGAGATTTTTCTCGCAAGTTTTAATTTTCTGAAATTTTTTGTTTTTCGTAAACTTCTTTCAATATTTTATTTTTATTTTTCAAATATAAACAAGTATATATATATGTATATAAATATTATTTTATTATAGTATTACACTTTGATACAGTTTTGTTTATAAACTAAAACTTTAAAAGTCAAAACAAGTTTTTTTGCCGCAAAATTTTTGAAAATTTCTCCAAAATAATTAAAATTTACTTCTTTACTTTTACAGTAAAAAAATGGATAAATATCCTGTTTTTTTGTTTTTTTTTAAAATGATAGATAAAAAAGTATTGTGCAAATAACTCCAAACTTTAAGCTCTCAATTTTAATACGACCGTAACATCATTCTTTACAGTACACACCCTTTTCTAAGTTGCAAATCTGACAACTTTTGCTTATTATTAGTATTTATGTTTTTTACGATCTTAAACTTATCTGAACTTACTGTCTTGAACTTGATAATAAAAGTAAACAATCAATCCTACTTGGATAAAGTTGATCTGTTTTATTATATCAAAACATTCTGTTGCTAATACCATAATAAAGTGAAGCAATCTTGACTCGTTTGTGATATATTTAGCATAACTACTATAACAGCAAATATAACAATGATATCAGTCAGCAATTACAGTAATTAAAAATAATTTATGTATTTATTTGTATACGATTGATTCTTTTGCTGCTCAAACTCTTGCAAACTTTAAAAATTATTCATTAAAATTTGCAGTAATAAGAAATTGAATTTATTTACAAAGTAATAAAGTAGTGCTTACTTAATGTAATATTCTCTTTAACCTTTCTCAAGTTTAACTTTTTAATTACTGTAGCATGAAAAAGTCGTAAAGAAACAACACTCATTTCTATGCAGTTTATTAACTTCGTAAATATATTTTAATTATATGAATAAATATCAGCAACTAATTGCGTCAAAAACGTAAGCTTTGTTTCTTTTGGTTTTATTCAATACCACGTGTAAAAAAGGTCTTATTCAATATTACGTGTAGAAGTTGTTGTAACTTTGAGTGAGAGGTGTAAACGTTTTAGTTATTGTTGACAAAAGTTTGATTGAACAATTTGAGTGAATAGTTTGAGAAAATTTTTCTGTGACTAACACAAAAGTTTACTTTTGAAAAGGAAGTAGTCGTTTGTTGTGTGGCACTTCAAGAAAATGCCTTCGAATTTCATTTATTATAAATGGCAACTACATTTTCTACTAATTTTTTTAACTTTTTTTGCATAAAAATTTAACTTGTTTTAT